TGAAAATAAGATTTTACTATACATCACGATGTTCAAGCCTGTCATCATGTATAATTCAGGTGCTTGGAGACAAACCACCCCGTCAAACCTCTCCATTTTGGAAAGGTTGCAAAACAAACTTCTCAGGATGCTTGCTGATGAATGCTCCATGGTTCGTGCGGAATGAAGCCATCCGCAGAGATTTGAAGCTGTTAACTATTCGGCAGTTCATTCAGTTAAGGAATCAGAGAGTTTTCGAGTCAGCGAAAACTCATGATAACCCATCAATCAGGGAAGCTGTAGATTACACTATAGATAACCCCACTCGATTCAGAAGGCCCCGTCGCTAGGTTGAGTGAAGGCCCCACGACGTGTCTTGAAATGAACAGTTTGTTCATCAAATATCCCAGTCAGGAAGGGGTACACAAGGCCAGAGCGGCATAGATGTCATTGACCTTTATGTCGCCACCAAAACACCTCACGTTATGAACCATTCGTCCTCCTGACGAATCTAAGTTGAAAGGGTAAGGGAAAACATTTCCAACCTGATGAAAACGAAGATGACTAAGATACACGTCAAGGCCCGTTAGTTAGGGAAGCTATGGGTTATGCTGTAGACGACCCCTCCCGATGTAGAAGGCCACGACACTCTGTCGAATGAGGTTATCATGTCCCCCGTTAATGGATAAACAGTTTTTTCATCCATTCCACCCCAGCCAGGTAGGGGTACCCCGTGAAGGGCGGTACTGATGTCTGAGGACTTCATGCCGCCAACATCCCTTCAGTCATGAACCCATTTGTCCTTACTCAACAAAAATCAGCTAAAAGGGTGAGGGAGCTGGGCTCCAACCTGAATGAACTGAAGACGATTGGTCACGTCGAGGCCCGCCTGCCCGATACTGACGATGCCCAACAGGCTGAAACAGCTGTCTACTGGTGGCTCTTAAATTGGAATCAATATGGGAATGATCAGAAAGTACTTATTTATGAATAAAATTTTCGAGACAACACCAATACAAAACGACATGAAACAAACGAATGGCTTTATCTCTGATTCTGATGAGGTGGTGTCTGTTTTTTAATCAATGGCAGAAAGGAAAAGAATGGAAAAAGTGTGAATTATTCAGGTATTTTACGTATAAAATTAAAATATGCGGTTTTAAGGCCATCGACATTTCTTCTAGTGTTAACACTATCATTTGAGGATATGTATCATTTCGCTCAAAAGTCTTTTTGATAAGTATGGTTGAACATCTGAAATAGTTGGGTGATCAAAATCAAAAATGTGTCCATATTCTTTTTCATGTTCAACGAGAGCTGTGGGATTTTTCATATTCAGATTCTAAGAGTCTCTCATGTGTTTTGAAACTCGTGTTTTAAGATACCGTCCGGTTTAATCAACATAGCGTTTGTTACAGCTTCCACAGTTCAATTTGTACACGATATTGGATTGTATTTATTGTGGTGTTTCGGTTTTTTGTTTCGAGAAAAAATGCTTTCCAACTATATTTTCATTTTAAAAAGCCACTTTCATTTCTTCGGTATTGAGTAGCATTCCAAGTTTAACAGATGCATTTTCTACAAATGGAATTTTTTGATATTTGGGTTTCGCCCCTGTATTTTGGGAGGAGAATCTCACTTGTTCAATTATTTTTCTAATAAGGGCTCTAGGAGAATTATTTTTTACTATGTAATTATGCGAAATGATACATATCCTCAAATGCGATAGTGTTAACACTAGGAGAGATGTCGATGGCCTTAATACCGCATATTTTAATTCGATACGTAAAATACATGAATAATTTACACTTTTTTCATTCTTTTTCTTTCTGCCATTGATTAAAAAACAGACACCACCTTATCAGAATCAGAGATAAAGCCATTCGTTTGTTTCATGTCGTTTTGTGTTGGTGTTGTCTCGAAAATTTGTTGTTTGCAATGTGTTTTTCATTTTCATTTTTTAAATACGTATCTTTTATGTCTGATGATTTTTAAAATAGTATTATCAACACAAAAAAATTACTTTCTGGTGAGCATCTTAAATGATAATTCATTATTTCTTGTAGAATTGAAATAAGTTTTGTAGAAGGTATATTCATGAAAATTCATTGTTACAGAGCCCTGAAGAAGAATTCGAATAAATTCAAAACGTCGGCAAAAATACAATTGTTTTTTTTAAGAAAAAATTGATTCTGTTACCCAACCAACCCCTTTTTTCAGATTATTAGTACTATTATCAAATGTAATAATTCTGAAATGTCATCAACAACGATATTCCATTAAAATGTTTTGAAATGAACGTGATACTTTTTTCAGTGTGTTTTTGTTGTCATTTTCGGTTCTAGCTGACCGTTTTTTCGAAACAAAAGCTGATTCAAAAGAATTTCCTGGCCCTAGCCCAATTGCCTCTGCCTATACTAATCCAGTGGTAGCTGCTCCTGAAACCTGTAGTTCCGAACAATATTTGAACAATATCAAAATATTGATACTTTTGAAATGTTATCATTCAATACCACCAGATATGCGATTCTGATATCAGTGGCAAGCTATCAAATCGATATTATATCTGTTAACTGGATGACAGTATGCAGCTGGAACTTTTTGAGCCAATATTCAGCCAAGTTTCATTTCAGAATATTATTTTCAATATTCAAGGAATATTATTGTTCTATTTCTTCTTATATTATAGAGTTTAACATTTTTTCACACGTTGATTTCACACGTTGTTTTTGTTTGTTTGTCCATGGAATTGTTGTTTTACTCATTATACTTTATATTTGAAACCTCGAAATTTTATTTTCTCTTGCACTGAGAAAAATACCATCCTTGTAGAGTGAGATGGAGTTGAAAAAAAAAGAAGATCGGAGATCTCGTAGTAAATCTAACGGCCAGACAATAGTAAGTGAAAAGCATTTTAACAAATACTGAAATAGTTAGAGCATATTTGGCATCGGTTCTGGATCCATATGATTCGAGAGAATATAAGTAGATATACAAAATGATCAGGTTTCAAAAAGACCGGCCTTTGTGCGATCGGCACGAACCCTACAGCCTTTTAGGAATTGCCTAACATCAAAATTTTGATCTGAAGACATCTGCATCTGGTGATAACAGCTGCCAAATTTCATTTTGAATAAAACAAACATGGCAATAGCGAGAGAGTTAACAAGGATTGATAGACAGTTGAGTATTATTACACTGGTGACAGCTGAGTGGGATTTCACGAGGATTTCTCGGTTGAGAAATCTATTTCTACCATTCAGATACTTTTTTTTGTTTATTACACTGTCGACATGGTACGATTGCGCACGACTGGTGTAAACCTCGAAGTAGGAATGGGTCAATTGAGGCTGGGCCTGTGGCGGGAATCGCTTACTGCGAAACCTCTGCTGCAGGTAACAAGCGATGCAATTGAACCCAGGTTTGTGTTTGATGAACCCTACAAAATAAAAATTAGGCAGAACATAGAGTTAGATCATACAAATGCAATACGGATTTATAGAGACGGCTCAAAAACCAACGAAGGCTCAGGGTGTGGAGTGTACTCCAGATCACTAAGCCTAAGAATTGATTGGGGAATGGGAAGAAATACCAGCGTGATCCAAACAATACTGGCTGGTATCTTAATCGCCACAAAAGAAATAAACAAGAAAGGAATTTCTGGCAAAAACATAACAATCTGCACTGACAGCAGACAAGCCCTATTAGCCTCAAACAGGCAACGTATAACCTCAGGGCTAGTACTAGAGTGTCACCAAGATTTAGCCAAAGCCTCGGTAGATAATGACTAAGGTGGTTCAAAGGGAACGACAGGTGTTAACGTTATCGCATTGCCGACTCTTTAGCCAAGGAAGCGGCTGGACTGAGAATTTTAGGACCCAGTGGAACCTACGGTCTGACGACTTCGACAATTGTGGAACTAGTCAAATGTTACACCCATGCTCAATACTTAGAGAGATGGGACGAAACCAAAGGATTTAACCTTGCCAGGATCACCTTGGGCGACCCTGGGAAGCTGGCGCCGAAGAAATATCTGGCAATGACCAGGAAAAATCTACGCCTAACAGTAGGATTTCTGACTGGCCACTGTCAACTAAGGAACCACCTCCATAATATAGGGCTAGTGGACACACCTCTATGCAGGATGTGTGAACAGGAAGATGAGACTGTCAGGCATGTCCTGTGCGAGTGCCCNTGTATTAAAATAACTAATAGAGATGTCTCCCAGTGACCTGTCCACCTTCCTGAAAAGGACAGGATGGACGATGACCTAGGAGGACAACTCCTCTGGAAGATGTACAATGAGTCACATGTGGCCTGAGTACTGTGGGCTTACACTCACCCTCCCCACTCTACAGATACAGAGATACACTGTTGACAGAAAAGGATCTACCGTGGTTATAACATGAGACTGCCAGATTCTATCCACAACAAAGCGATTCACCTGCTTGAAAACACACAATCAACATAGTTTGGAACGTTGAAGGAAGTTTGGAGGTTTCCTTTTCTTATAGATACTTTCACGAGAAGTATTCCATCGGCTCATTTCTCACCAAGAGCAATTCAGAGATACAATTCAATAAACTATGAACCCCACAATTCCAAATCTCTCATTTGGAGAGCGGCTGTCTCCTGCAATGAATTATGCCAGACCGGTATTTCAACTGAATATAATCTAACAGCACCATTCTCAGAGCGTTATAATAATTTTTAAATGTGGCTCATACATCCCACGAACAAAAAATCTCCATTCTTCATAATATAATTACAGATACATTCATTTTTACTTCAGTGAATGAAAATTGTTTTTCACATAATTTCATCAGTACCCTAAATAGATAACCGAAATAATTTCCATAATTTCATGACTTTCATTGATCACGTACACACATTGAACTGATACTTCATTGAAATTGGTCATACATAAGTCGATTCAATAACGAATTGAAATTTCTATTGCATAATAATCAGAGTCAACTGATGGACATGTTTATTTAATAACCTTCATTATTGCTGATAGTTTTCAATTAGTTCTATCCCCACTGAAAAAACTAGTATAAATGTTGACGAATGATTGATAAGATATCACTTGACAGTTGAAAATCAAGAAAACAAACCAAATCAAAATGTTCAAATTGGTAAGTATTGATGTATACGTTATTTATCATTATCTTATTTTCATACCCAACACCTGGGCTGAAAAGTCACGGGCCTAAGAAAGAAAACGCGTTTGTTTTTTCGTTCATAATGGGGAATGTTCCTCCTGACGAAAATCAAGTAGTTTTCATAAAAGAGCTATAAAACAACGCATTTGAAACTTATCATTTCAACCTTTTTCTTTAAAAAATTATTCAAATACTTAAGAAAGAGGAATGAAATAATGTATTCAACATTTAAAGGGATTCGTTTCTATTTCACAATTTGGCAACATCGGTTACAGCTAATAAAGGACAACGAATCTGTTACCTGTGTGAGACAAACAAAGATATATTTCAGAGGCATGTTGTTCTATTTACTCATGTTCCGAGTGACATATGACATTTTGAGTACCTAACCTATTTTTCTCTATATCAATAAATAACAAAACAACTGTTGTTTATGTGGCTTGTGGCGGTGGTATTGAACTATAATTTATATTTTGCCTTAATTGTTGATTCATAAAGATAATTTTCCCTTTTTTAAAGTAGAATATCTGAGTACGTATAAACTATTTCAACTTGATATAGGCGCTGTTCACAATATGTGAATTTGAAACAAATCCCTTCAAAAATTGAAACCCAACATTTGAAACATCAATTTGAACACTTTCCGAAGTGAATTTGAAAAAGTCATGAATTAAACTCAACTTTATTCTGCTCAAACTTGCATTTGCTGTAATGAGCCAAATTGAGGCTTCATTCATTAACAAAATCTCCATCAAGAGCCACACAATCACTCTGGCTCCGCTCAAACATTTCAATACCACTTTTGCAGAACGATTTATCTTTTGCCTCAAAATATGCCTTAGTTTCAGTAATAACCTCTTCATTCAAGCGGAATTTGTTTCCGGTGAGCATTTTTTTCAAGGTCTGCGAACAGCCAGTAGTCGCTGGGAGCCAAATCTGGTGAATATGGTGTATGCAGAAGCGATTCAAAGCCAATTTCATGCAATTTTGCCATCGTTTTCATCGATTTGTGACACTATGCATGGTGATGATGGAGAAGCACTTTCTTTTTCTCCAAATGGGGTCAGTTAGGCCTTCAAATACTCCAATATTCACTGTTGATGTTATTTCACTTCTCAATATAGTTGTTGAATATTACACCACGCACATTCCAAAAAAACCGAGGCCATAACCTTTTTAATCGATTGTTGTGCTTTCCGGCGCTTTGGACGAGGTTCACCAGTTGCTCTCCACTCGGATAACGAATTTTTTCAATTCTGGAGTGAATTGATGGATCCATGTGTCATCTATTGGCACATATCGATGGAAAAATTCTGGTTTTAAGTTTTTTTCATGGCCAAACACTGTTTAGAATCATCAATACGTTCTTGTTTTTGGTCAACAGTGAGCCCGCGCGCTCATAATCAAATGCTCATGCAATATAAAGCCAACACGTTATTTGATATATTTACAATGTCAGCCAACTGATGCAACTTCACTTTTCCATCATTCAAAATGATTTTATGGGTTTTTTCAATGTTTTCTGGTGTTACTGCCTCTATGGACGTTCACTGCGTTCTGCATCATCGGTGTCCCTACAACCACGTTGAAGTCAGCAAACCAACGTTTAATTGTTGTTTCTGATGAATAGGAGTCCTCATAACACTTTTCAAGCCATTGCTTTATCTCATCAAGAAGCAGTGTAAAATTTAAACATGAAATTGTTTTTGATCCATTGTTTTAAAAATAACAACAAAAGTAGTGTCACTCTTAGCACAATCACTCCCAAACTTATGAGTGGAATGTCATGAAATTTCAACAGCTTCCTTTTGGAGGTTAGTACTAGTGTTAGGCTCGAGATTTTTTATCCCATGTAGTATAACTTCATTATGTCCAATTTGATTATCTGAAAACATTTCGTAGTTCATATGCATTTTCTCATTCACAGATATTCAATAGCGTAAAATGATATTTCTACATCACAGTGATGATACATTTTCTCATTATTTTATTTTCAGTTCATTCTTGTTGCCATTTTCGCCGTTGCCATAGCTAACCCCGCTCCTGAAGCAAAAGCTGATCCAAAGGCATCACCAGATCCTAGCCTGTTTGCAGCCTATACTGCTCCAGTTGTCGCCGCTCCTGTTGCCTACACATCTGCCTATTCTGCTCCTTTGGCTTATGCTAGTTATGTCGCTCCCTCTGTATATTCTGCTGGATATACTGCCTACTCACCTTATGCGGGATCTTACGTCGTTTTATAGAATACTCATAACTGTGATATTAATTTTTCTCAATAAATGTGATTGAAACTCAAGTGTTATTTTATTTTTTGAGAACTCAGTTGGTGATCCATATTTCTCATGAAACACCAGGTGTGAACATTTTCGACTGTAGTGAGATGAATTGAGTAATTAATTGGACCGGAGGACAGAGTTATTTCAGTCAAAAATACTATCGATTTTAATTTTGGAATTCCTTAAACAAAATTTGTATTGATGTTAGGTGGATGACTAAGCGATAGGATTGATTCGATCCACGAATAAATTAGACCTCCAAAGGCAATCTATTGCAAAGCCAAGCATGGAAATCGACCGCTGAATGAGATTCGCCCTATGTCTTTCTATGCAACTTTCAAAAGCAATGCATTCATGATCCAACACATTGCGTTTCTGTGACCCACCAAAGGTCTCATCAGTGGAGCTACCAAGATGCATAGAATATCCCTGATGTGATCCCTTTCCAATATAGAATATTTTGTTAGAAACTCTGAACCTACAGCAATATTGATGAAGAAATAAAGAAATAATAAAAAAAATACGATGGATAGCAATGTCTAAATTGTTAGCAAACTGCCAAAAATGACTCCTCGATAGGAAGACTTAACAGATTGTCTCTGGTCTGGATTCCTGGCCATACTGGCCTGGAAGGCAATGAAGCTGCTGACTCTCTTGCAAAGGAAGGTGCTGCAAGCGGCATCATTGGACCAGAACCTGTCATTGGCATCGCTTTGGGCTTTTTCAAACAAACACTGAACACCTGGATAGCAAAAAGATTCATGGACTTCTGGCAGAATCTTTCGGGAATGGCTCATTCCAAGGCGTTTATTAACCCTTCGAAGCTTGATACCAAACAGTTGTTGTACTACAATAGGGATGAACTACGATGTCTAACAGGCCTGAAAGATCACTCACCATAGAAACTAATCGCCTCCGTTAAGAAGCTGGGTTTATTTGGCCGAGTATGAATAGGTGTGAGCCACAATAAACCCTTGTGGGTTGCGGTGGAAGGTCGAATAGACTCACTTACTTTTGACCTACCTAACTACAATAGATAGGCTGTGGTCGGATGAAACCCAAAGTACGAAATGTTTCGTCTGCTACTGCGGCAGATATCATCAGTGTATCGGCAAAGACTGCGATGATGAAGTTTATATCTGGGAGTCTCAGCAACAACTCACTCAGTCGGTCACCAAGTTGGGTTGAACATTATTTAACAATTTGCGGCGCAACTGTGCTTTTGGCGCTTTTCATTCAGGTCGTTCTCAAGGAATGTTCTGCATCCGTAGAGTAGGGAGGGTGATTGTAGAACCACAGCATTTAGGCCACATGTGACCCATTGTACATTCTCCCGAGGAGTTGTCCTCCTAGGTCATCGTCCATCCTCTGATTTCCATAAAGGTGGATAGGTCACTAGGAGACATCTCCTTTATAGTGGCAGGTATAGGCAAGACTCGCCAAACACACACTCTCTTTGGCAACCTTGAGGTGTCTCACGGTGGCCTCCGCGAAGGTTTTGGAAGGTGCAGCGACATTACTGTCGTTGCGCCGCTTCTTCAAATTCCTTGGGGTTCCCTCCGTGGAGGTGCACATGCGAGGGAGCTTTCCTGCAAGGGCAGCCGGTTCCTTGCCTTTATTCAAGGCGGAACTCTTGGCGCCCACCGCAGGAATAGTGCTTGCTGTTGGAGGTGGAGTGGGGATGAATGAGGGTGCACTTCTGGTTGCTGCCACTCCTGTCTCCTTCGCCCTCTTTCTCATTTTGGCCTCGGCGCCACAAATGCGCCTACGCCTTGGCCTTCGTATCACATCACGAGGTGATGTGTTGTTTCTGTTTTTGTGTTTGTTTTATTCATGTGTGTTTACACGTGTAGCAAGGGAAGAGTTGGTCACCTCTGACAGAGACCCGCATTACCAGAGTAAGGCTAATTACAATGAGGTTTCACCCCGTTTTCTAAGGGGATCATTCGTGACTGCATATCACCCTGCGGCCATTCAGCTCTCGGCACGATTCCTTACACCTTAGCTGGTCTACGGTGGCATGTTTTGCAAAGGCTTTTGGAGAGTTTTAGTTCCCCTCATCGTTCTTATTCCTGCCACTGACCAGGAGTCTGGCGACCATGTTCTGGCCGTTCTCCTATCCGCCACCTGGAGACGAGCCCGATAAGTTGCCCAACCCACGAGTTCAAGAAGTGTTATCAAAGTTTATGATGGAAAGAATCTTTCATTACATACGCCTTTTTACGAAAGTATTATTTTTGATTCATCATCAGTATGCTTAATATTCTGTCCCTTATAAAACAGTGATTATATCTCACTTGTACGAAATATTTTCCGAACAGAAGGAACATACTTCATTTGGTATGAAGGTTGAGTTTGTTTTTGAATATTTTTTAAGTTTTTTCTCATAAAAATAGAAAGGCAAACACTGAGAATGTATAATTACTAGTTACCCAAATATTATTCTCAATTTACAATTTTCAGATACGGACCAGGCGTTGACAATATATACCTAGTCTTCGTCCCCACTCAATTCAGAAGGCCCCGTCGCTCGGTTGAGTGAAGGCTCCACGACGTCTGTTGAAATGAACAGTTTGTTCAACAAATACCCCAGTCAGGAAGGGGTACACAAGGCCAGAGCGGCAGAGATGTCATTGACCTTTATGCCGCCACCAAAACACCCTACGTCATGAACCACTTGTCCTCCTTTCAAAACTCAATTTTGAAAATAAGATTTTACTATACATCACGATGTTCAAGCCTGTCATCATGTATAATTCAGGTGCTTGGGGACAAACCGCCCCGTCAAACCTCTCCATTTTAGAAAGGTTGCAAAACAAACTTCTCAGGATGCTTGCTGGTGAATGCTCCATGGTTCGTGCGGAATGAAGCCATCCGCAGAGATTTGAAGCTGTTAACTATTCGGCAGTCCATTCAGTCGAGGAATCAGAGAGTTTTCGAGTCAGCGGAAACTCATGATAACCCATTAGTCAGGGAAGCTGTTGATTACACTATAGACGTCCCCCCTCGATTCAGAAGGCCCCGGTTGAGTGAAGGCCCCACGACGTCTGTTAAAATGAACAGATGGTTCATCAAATACCAGTCAGGAAGGGGTACACAAGGCCAGAGTGGCATAGAGGTCATTGACCTTTATGTCGCCACCAAAACACCTTACGTTATGAACTATTCGTCCTCCTGACGAATCTCAGTTGTAAGGGTGAGGGAAAACATTTCCAACCTGATGAAAATGGAGATGACTATGATTCACGTCAAGGCTCGTTAGTTAGGGAAGCTATGGATTATGCTGTAGACGACCCCTTTCGATGTAGAAGGCCAAGACACTCTGTCAAATGAGGCCCTCATGTCCACCGTTAACGGATAAATAGATTTTCCATCCATCCCACCCCAGCCAGGTAGGGGTACCCCGTGAAGGGCGGTACTGATGTCTGAGGACTTTATGCCGCCAACATCCCCTCAGTCATGAACCCATTTGTCCTTCTTCGAAAAAAATCAGCTAAAAGGGTAAGGGAGGTGGGCTCCAACCTGAATGAACTGAAGACGATTGGTCACGTCAAGGACCGCCTGCCCGATACTGACGATGCCCAACAGGCTGAAACAGCTGTCTACCGGTGGCTCCTAAATTGGAATCAATATGGAAATGATCAGAATAGTACATATCTATGAATGATTTTCTCTTGCAGGTGGATTATTTGACTGAGAAAACTGATATTGATACCGAAAAACTTGAAAATTATTTGGAAAAAAGTTTTGATCAGGACTATCGATGAATCAATTGAGAAAATATTTTCATCACCTTTCTGATGATACTAAATGAAAATTCAAACGGTTCTCAGTGAATGTATATAATTCGTTCCTCACGTACATAAATAAACCATTGTAACACTACAATTACCTTGACTTAAAAGTGAAACGCTTTGTAGCATTTCAATGAGACTCAATTCGTACCTTCAGGCCATTTTTATACACCTCTGAATAATTTCTGACAATAATGCTATTCGTTCTTCGAAACTATCTCCAACGGTATATATGAATAATGGAAAGATCGTTTGAAAAATATGATTGATAATTGTCAGAAAAGCAAAAATCCAAAAAAATTGTTTGTGAAGTAGTAAGTATTTTTGAGTTAGTTTTTTAAACCGTAGAACTGTTATTTCCAATTAAATTGAATGAGATAATGTCCTATGGACGGTATTGATTTTATTGAAAATATTAACAAACTTATCCAGCAAGCGTACTGCTACGCATGTTCTTCCTCATTCTATTGAATTATCATTATATGAGTCAATAATTCCTGTCAATATTCAATTCTGCTGACTCACCCTATGGCTTAAATCTCACAAAACATTGATTCAAGCGAATTGTGAAATATATAACTTGTTTCCCATAGACCAACTAAAACTAGTTCCAACATGGAGATGAAAAGTTATCTTTTGAATCAACAATTATTCATTTTCAAGAATAGGAAAGATGACAGTGGTTTTCACATTCATAGTTTAGACAATGTTCCATACCAGAGTATTTCTGGTGTTGAGTGGCACAGCAGTCTAGGGAGCACCCTTCTTGTATTGTATTCTTGCAGACGTTTCGAATTTGATTGAATTCTTCTTCAGGGCTCTGTAACAATGAATTTTCATGAATATACCTTCCACAAAACTTATTTCAATTTCACAAGAAATAATGAGTTCTCATTTAAATTACTCACCGAAAAGTAGTTTTTTCGTGTTGATGATAATACTA